TAAAGAAGCTGGTACTAAGTGTATTGAATTTAGCAAGGGAAAGCTGACGTATCTGAATACCATATTCACATCTTATTCTCCGGACAATGTCATCTTAACCTTAGGTAAACCACGGAATATAGTTGAAATGGAAAGTGAAGATAGGATACGTTTTCGACCCTACAGCGATTATAGCGATGATTTTACGACACCATTTAAGTCAAGGAATTTAGGGATACTTAGATGTTCGAAATTCAGTCACGAAACCCACTGGATATCCTATGTGAATATTGTCTGCAAGTGCATGACTGTTCCAACAACTAATGACGAAGTAGTCATCCCCCTGCTTCATACTTTTAATTGAAGGTACTGTGCCGTAATTTTTTGCTTGAACTGTTGATATGTAATTCGTTTTTTTGTAACATCTATTTGTTGTCAAGTCCGAACATCTACCTCTAACTGGTTAATGTTGTTGGTCAAACTGAAGTTCATTTGACAGTTTATTCCGAGTTTTTGAGATATAGGTATATCCATGCTGTTATTGATTTTAAGCAACCTGATACATGAAAAAGTAACAGCCGTATTTCCACTTCATTACATATCCTTTTGCAGAATTCTACACCAATCAGATATCTCGTCGTCCGTTCGCTAGAAGACGACACTGTAGTCGCTATCCCAAACACTTGGGTTGTGCGAAGTGGTTTATGTGCGCACAGCAAACCATCTAGAGCCTGTGTATACCGGAACTGGATGGTCAGTGTTTGAACTCCGTCAACTGCAGGAATTTGTCAAGTTGGCATATTTCATTCTAGATACGTATGAGAATTGTAAAAGGGGTGTAGAGCTTTTGTGAACCAATGATCAAGGCTTCAAGAAGGCAGACATGGACGATGATACGTTGCCAATGCCTAGTAAGAGACCAAAAAGGTAGGTACGGTTTTCTGTCCAACGTATTTTCAGGGATGCCAAGAAATCTGAGAAGAATTTCCTTTACAACTCTATGGATATTGATGTAGCCGCCAGTGAAGTTGGTTGCATCAAACCACAATATCCAGATTACAATATATTTGATGAATTCGTAGCCCCAATTCCAAGGTACTATCCTAATTGAAAGCCCTTCATTTTCAGTACTTCCAGTGCTCCCATATTCCATTCTTCATTTCCTATTGGCAAAAACACAACTGTGTCTGACCGTTAGAAATAATTGCTACAATTTTTATTCCTGCTTTAGACTGTCATATAAAGCAGACGCCACTGATTTCAAAATTCAGAAAATACTCGGTAATTATTTAAAAATAACTATTCAATTAAAGATGCTGTAATGGAACTTATCAATTTGTCTACAAAAATCCTGAACATTGTTACAATTAACCACAAATCTCGACTGCAAACCAGCCTTCCAGCAAACGACGACCTCACACTGGAGTTTCCGATCGAGAATGAAGACCACTTAGAGATGCTGGAAACATCTTCAAGAGACGAAAAGTACAAACAGCAATATGTGAGTTGACATATTTAATTCTTATTTCTTGTAGACTGCTAAGATGGTTAATTGCTTTCAGAGTGATCCAAAGTTATCACTTAAGGTCATGATGCACCATGTTCTGAAACCTGAAGTGGCTTTGAAGTTTACATTTCAGGGGACTTTGACAAAGTCCAGCATTGTGCCTTATGCCTTTTATAAAATAATGAGATGTAAGGTTCATTAATGAAGTACTTAGTTCTTTAGATGTAATTATCGCTCAATTCTCCGGCCAACTAGTGACGTCGGTGACATAATGGATGAGGCCACGAAATCGTACTTTCATAATTTGAAAGATCGCGTTCAATGGCGTAAGCTGAAGAAAGAAAGGAATTCAGGTAATATTGCGAAACGCCTGCTTACTTTTATAAGTCAACGTTTATTGAACATATAGTAATGACAACATTTTGATTTTTAGGCAAATGAAAAAGATACCAGGGGATATAACAGTGGCAGTTACGTAAGTAAACCTCTCTAAATGTAAATGCTTAGAATGTGCTGAGCACTATTTTTCATCAACTAATCTTTCATTTTGCTTATTTACAGGATGCTACAAGTGGATCACACTTGACGGATTTGCAGTGACAATGTACTACAGTTTATTGAACACAAAATTCTCTCAATTATAAAAACTGATTTCTTCCTGTAAACTAAATGAATTGCGCCGGCGTAGGACACAGGTGATGATAATAAGTAGCAGTCTTTACGTTCTGAAGTAATGCTAGTCAGTGCTGAATATGTGCTGAGAAGGCTAGAATTAAGCTGAAAAATTGCCGCTATGTGCTGAATTAAGTCTTTTCGTTCTGAAGTAATGCTAGCCAGTGCTTAATATGTCCTATAAGGGCTGGAACAACACTGATAAGCGAACCCAGTATGTTCTGATCTACTCCTTAAAATGCCTAAAAAAAAGAACACGGTGCTGAATTAGTTCTAGTCATGCTGAAAACCAGCACTGAGATCTAGTCTGTGTCATTAAACAAACTATTCCAGAACAGATTCAGAATTTACTCACTATATGATGCTAGAATTACTGAGATTTAATTCAGCATTATTGTAAGCTTGGGTGCTTATTTGCAAATTCCTCTTGAATAAGCTACTAGTGCATTAACAACCATTAATACTACATTTGGATTGTTCAAGTATAAGTACTTCCCTTTACGTTTAAAGGTTTCACCTGCAGTATTTCAAAAAGTAGTAAATCAGATGATACATGGAGTTGAATCTTACCAGGACGACATTATATTTCATGGTTCTAACATCAAATTTCATAATGAACGTCTTTTAAAACTGTTCAGGCGTTTCTGTGACCAAAATATTCTTGTTAATCCATCTAAATGTCATTTTACTTTGCCGTCTATATAATGCTTAGGATACACAGTTGACTCCGAGGGTTTCAGACCTGATGCTAGTCGTTTGGCACCTACAATTCAAGCACCTTCACCTAATAATATGACGTCGCTGAGATCATGGATTGGTTCTATTCAGTTTTACTCCAGATTCATTCCCAATTTCACTCAACTGTTATCTCCGCTTTTTGATATTGTCTCCAGTAAACAATTTAAGTGGGAACAACAACATGAGAATAGCTTGCGAAAAACTTTAAAGTTTCTTAATAAACAAGCTTTCTCAAGACCTTTTTCATCGAAAGATAAGTCCGTTCTCACTATAGATGCTTCTCCTAAGGGTATAGCTGCACTACCTGAGCAAAATGGACAACCTGTTATTTGTATTTCACGACATCTAAGTAAGAGTGAACAAGGGTACTCACAAACCCAAAAAGAGACTCTGGCAGTTGTATGGACAACAAGACGCTTGCGCAAGTATCTCTTTGGTACTAAGTTTCACATAGTTACTGATCATCAGGCTTTGAAATTCATTTACAATCCAGAAAAATCTTTGAATAGATCATCTGCTGCTATGGATCAAAGATGGAATTTAGAACTAAGTGCATATGATTACACGATTGAACACAGATCGGCTAAGGATATACCTCATGCAGATTTCTTATCTCGTTATTCATTACTTGAAAATTCTTCTAATGACGCTGATTATTTGTTAGTCCAGCCGTTGCCTGTGGAAAGAGTTCGACTTACAAACGATACACAGAAATATTATGAAGCATTATGAATACAGCAAAAAGAGGTTGGAAGATTCAGTGTAAGCGAAGATTCTCGGACTTTTATAAACGAAGAGATGAGATTTCAGTTCATGCTGGAGAATTTCCATGTCTGAATAACAGGATTATTATTCCTCCGACATTAAGACCTTAGATTTTGAATGATCTCCATTCTGCTCATCTGCGAGTCGATAAGATGAAATCATTAGCACGCCTAAAGTGCTGGTGGCCGGAAATTGATGCTGACATTGGCCAAAGTTCACAGGGCTGTTCCAGTTGTTTGCATAAAATGTCCTATGGGAAGTCATCGTGGAAACTATGCCCTGCGCAGCGTATTCATGCGAATTACAGTGGTCCACACTTAAATTCATAATATGCCTTAATTATTGTGGATTCTTATTCTATATGCCCGGATGTTATAACTACAGATAGTCCTGACGCAAAATTCACTAACACAGCTTTGAGGAAGAATTTTAGTCGAGAAGGAATTCCACATGTCTTAGTTACTGATAGTGGTATTCATTTCACTGAGAAGAACTTCAATGATTGGCTCAAACATTTACGTTGTCATCATGTGTACACAGCACCACGTCATCCTCAGTTGAAAGGATTGACAGGAACATTTGCACGAACATTAAAGAGTGCCATAGAATCAATGAGTCCTAAGAATTTTGGCGAGCTAGAGATGTGTAGATAGCTTCCTACTTCAATATCGCAATGCAGAGCATACAAGTACCCGTGAAAGTCCTGCTAAACTATTCAAATCTCCAATTTCCCGAACGAATCTGATGTCCACGACTTCTGATGTACATCATTATACAGCGAATGACTATAGACCTTTTGATGGAACCATACTACAAAACATGGGAAATCAAATTTTGGAGATATTAGACATCGAAGATCATTCAGTTCATCACAATCACCTGCATCAAGCGATAATAAATGAAGCAGGTCGTCCCGATAACAATTTTAATGATTTCTCTACTAATCCTGATTTCGTAGATAATTCACAAATAAGTCCAGATGATGTGATATTGTATCCGTGTTGACATTTCGTCAGCGATCAACCCACCGGCATTGGCTGATGCAACTTCCCATATAAGTGAAGCGAACAACGTGCCCTACCACTTCACTCCATATTTCCAATCCTGTAGCATCATCTTACATTTGGCAGGAGCGAATCGTATGCCAAACATTAGCAGATCGCAGCTCAAGGTGTTTAAAAGATTCTGTCAGCGTCTTCACATAGAAGGACCATATCATCTGCATATTCTAAGTCAACGAGATTATACCCTGGTAACAAGACAATCCCCAAGTCTCTGAAGTGAGTTAGGGTTAAATCTTTTAGTACATCTATGATGAAATTAAGTAAAAACGGAGATAGCGGGCATCCTTGACGGACAACACTAGTTGCCATCACATCAGATGACAATTCGCCATAAGCGCTCACCTGGCTGGTTTACAAAATATGTTAGAATTTTATTATATACAAATCTTTTGTTTTAAGTAGCGTCTTGAGACGCAAACAGTAATACACACAACACAACCATTATCACAGTATATAAGCAAAAGGGTCAAGAGGCCAATTAAAACCTCGCTGTTAGTATACATTAACGGTGCTTCCGCTGTTTTGTTATATTGGCTATGTAAACAGTGTTCCCAACCACGCGTTTGCCTTTTGTTGTGTTGAAAGTGCAGAACCCCATCGTCCGCATCATCTCAGCTTCCTCCTCCGTTTCAGGTTCAGCTGGTGTTTCTGAAAAATAAAGTGGTCATATAACGAAAATTGATTACCTTCCACATACTCTATAACCTCTTCCTCAGTTTCAGAACTTCGATAACGTGAATGTCTCCGTCTTCCCGGGCTATAGTTGCGTTCACGTCTCCTTCGGGCATCGCGATCTCTATTCTCTCTATCATGTCGATGCCAGTCTCTGTCCACGTCTCTTACGTGGTAGTCATGACCGTAGTCACGATCTCTGCGATCTTCATATCTCCGTGAACGCGCATATGTATCACCTCGATCTCTGTGTCGATCACGTGACCTTGAGCGGGTGCATTTCTCGTAGTCTGTAAAAGTAGGAGAAGTTAGGGAATGTGGCATATTATCAACAGAATGTTGCGGTAGTGCCCACTGACTAAACCTCACATTTGCATACCAGGTTGAAAGTAATAAGGTGTTTCAGGATACAACCTCTTACCAGTAAACTGAAATAATAAATCAAAATGGAGATAATTAGCAAGCCCATTAGATCACGCAAGCCTCTGTTTACTGTCTATATTATGCATTTCTTCTACTTCCTTCTCTTGCTTTGCGTGCTACACAGATTGTGGCGACTTGAACTGCCGCACATATGTGCAAAGTTCTATGTCGAAAACCGACCGACCGACCGACCGACAGACTGGAGATGCAAGCCATCCTACTCTACTTCACAAAATAAAACTAGTGCAACTTCAAGTGCGAAATCACACTACACTCAGAAGTTATTCGATAATCTTCACTAACGATAAGTTAAAGAGAAATCTGATTTAAGAGCCATATAAATCTAAAAGGCGATTGAATCCCGTAGGTTTTAGATGCAGCAAACCTTTCGGTGAAGGAGGCTTTTATAACTCCCACGACAAAAGGTGCAGACAATGTAAGTTGTAAAATATAGTGAATGACGCTTTATAGAACCAGATATCCTATCTCGCGAACTCATATCGCCAGCGCTGCTTGCAGAGTCGGTGGTGTACATTTACTAGAAGTACAGTTGCTAATTAAAAAACTGAGTTCTCACATGTGACTGAGCACAGCGGTTCAACTTGCCACACTCCATGTAGCACACAAAGTCAGGCGAAAGAGAGGAAATATAGAAATCCAAGGGACTACAATTAACGGAAGTGAGCAAAAACAAGAATAGTAGCACGGCTTAGTGGATATGGAAAATCCGAAAGAGCGAGTGCATCTGTTACTCAGAACGACCATGAGCCATACCACAAATGGTCTCCCAAAGATCTCAACCAGGTAGCTTGTATTTCCTTCCCTAAGTGGCTAGCTCAAACCAACTGCCAACGACTTCATGAACTGCTCCTAACTCCCTTCCATTTCAATCCTATGCCGGCTAACATCGCTCGTCTAGCAAGGCGATCGATAGCTAGGTATGACGTCTTCGCTAGAGATGGTACAAGTTGGCAAACGCCACACCAGACAGTATCTGCGCTGGTGCAACTACCTTTCTTCAAGCTGGAAATAGGTACAGCTAAGTCTTACAGCATCATCTTAGATGTGATAGAAGTTAACCACATGACAAACATACTAAGATATTTAGAGGAGTTCGCATTTTGTCCACATCTCCTTTCACCTAGAAGCACTGTATTATCTGCATGTCGTACATCGCTGACACTTCTTTCTGGTAATTTAATATATCCCTGTGACAGAGAATGCGCCAAACGTTGTATTCCTGTAATGTAATTAATTAAAAAGTGGGTACACTTATATGGGATATCGCTAGTAGTTATCACTTCAAATGAAAAATTCCCATAAACTCCTGCATGGCTGCGTGACCTCTAGTAGTGCCCTCATTAGTACGATATACTTCCAGGACCAAATATTGCGACAGCACCTCTTGTTCGACGGTGTCGAATGCTGTTTGCAGGTCAAGAAATATGACAAATGTTGGGTGCTGGTAAGAATGGGTGTTTTTGAATCCATCGGAGGATGAAGATATGATCTATCTGGCCTACACTCACCTTTGAATAACCAGATATATTGGTGGGAAATTTGTGTAACTAGTGAGAGAGAGGAATTTAGTGTTTTCTCGATTTAAAATCTCTCAAAAGTGATACTAGGTACACAGAAAAACTGCCTACATTCCCTGAGCTTAAAGAATGGAAAGTCTACACCTAATCACTGTGGTATAGGTACAGAGGAGCTTACTTCTAATCCTGACCCTCAATTAAGTATTTTCAGTTCACACTACAATTCAGAAGCCACTGGTGAATAAATTACACATATCAGACTAATGCACTTGACAGAAAGTAATACAGGAACTTATCGTGCCAGTTCCCTTTGAGGCTGTTTGCGAAGGTGAAATGAATTTGAAAAAACTCAGACAAGTACAATGCAACAATTCGAAAAATGCCATAAAAACATATTAAGTCCAAGGCCTACTATTACCATGCATGACTACCCACAAATAATTTGATCGTCGTTGTCAAAGGCACATATACTGGGCTTAAGTCCAGACAATGAAATACCGCTTAGAATGCTATGTCGAGCTACTGCCAGGTTGAATTCTGTCGCTGGAGTTTTATGCATTGAAGCATTTTACTTTGAACTGACAACATTAAAATTAAAACATCAATAAAATCAGGAGACATACTATAAACTTGAGTGACTGCCCAGATATAAGTCCAGTTGTTGTTTGAGGTGGAAATTATAGGAAAAGACGCAGTTAAAATCCGGATAACTCACCTCTAGACATTTGTAACACCAAACTTCAAGTGTATTACGCAATAATAACAGTCACAAACGAAGAAAGAAGAAGGCGAAGAGGACGTGAGAGATGTGTGCATTTGAATAAGTAAAGTTAGCGGGCACAAAGCTATTTGTCATCGTTTATAACAAGTCCAGCTAGACGGTTCTCTTCTTGTTCCAGTAGGTCAATGGTAGCGTTTCTTTCTGAAAGAGAAGGGGAAAAAACTTATTTAGGCAAGAGTAAGCAATAGACGTCAAAGTCGAATTACCTACAGTCAGATAGCTCAGCATTACAAATGAAAGCTGTTCATAATAATCTACGCAAGTTTCACCTAGATTTAGTTTTTGACTTCCATGTGGTAAAGAGGTTAATAGGGAGGACTAAAATATTGATATGTGGGAGGAGAGTGGCATTTTTACGTTGTGAAGTAAATTCTGCTTTTGTTGTTTAAACCACATCAGAAACTTTTTAGTTCACTTTAACTGATTTATTTAGTTGAAGTGTTGTTCATATTATTCACAGTTTGTGTTTTGGTTGGTGTTTACCTCGCTTTTTTCACGTATATATATTTGTGTTGTTGAAACAAATTAGCGTTATGTGGACGACCGGCTGCCATTTTCCGGGGATGATGGGATGCAGTGTGACAACTGAAGCCTATGGTTACACAAGGTTTGCTCTGGTTTATCACCAGTAGCCTATAAGAGATGTTGCAAGCCATCAACTCCGTGGCTGTGCAAATTTTGCAGTAACCCGTTGGATGTCCTCATCCGAGAGGCAGTAGGACTCCTGATATCCAAGAAATTGACGAAAAACATAATCGAAAAGCCTGCACCAGAAATCTTAGCCAAGAATGGCGGTTCAGGACATAGTTTTAAAACTGAGGGTGTATCGCCACCTGAAGCTTCAGAAGCAAAAGAGGCACAGAGTGCCCAAATGTCTGTTGCGACAAAGCGCAAAAGACAAAGGAAATCTAAAAGGACAAGTAGTGCCAGCATGGTAACACCAGCCTGTGAAATGGCCACCCCAAAGCGCAGCGTATCTAGTGCGCGAATGGCTTCTGGTGGCGGCGAAAACAAAGTGGAAGAAAGTGACTCCACTTGGTTGGTGCCGACAGGTAAGAAGCAAAATAAACTTAGGAAAGAAATAGTAACCGAGTTCACCAACAAGGTCTCGACGGCTGTTAATACCAGCCAAACTCAGAAACACATGGACTCTAGTTACAGTGTTATCATCTGGAATTTGGAGGAATCCAAGAACACAGATCCAGCTGCCCGACAGGCAGGTGATCTGAAGGCGGTTAGCTCCATAATCCGGGGAATAGTTCCCGAAAAAACAATTGGGGTTCACATAGGAAAAGCCATCAGGATCGGAAATCGAAACCCTGATGCTACAGAAACTTCTCGACGACTACTTAAGATAGTTTTAGGGAACGAAACACAGAGAAGCACCATCCTCAACAACGCGTTCAAAATCAACGATAAAAGATTAAAAATAAGGTTTGATCGGCCTTTAGAAGATAGAATCAAAAGAAGAGAAGCCGTGGCTGAACTAAAGGCCAGGCTAGAGGAAGGCGAAAAACACCTCAAGTTATTGGGTTTACGGGTGGTGAGGTCTCGGAAACCTATGCTGCCGAGACCTCTCTTCATAAGCCGGATGGACACGTAGGTGTTTTAGTGTGCTATACGGACGCATGTAGTCTTAAGAATAAGCTCGCCGAATTAGGAGAATTATCTGAAAGACTACAACCTGATGTGATTGATATCACTGAGACATGGTTGTTAGTGGGTGTAGACATAACTCCACTCATACCTCGGTACATCTGAATTCGAGCAGACAGAGTAAGTAGTCGAAAAGGTGTGGGTTGCTCTATACATCCGCGATGACATATGGATTAGGTCAACGTTGTCAGAAGCTCATGACAGCGGCACCTGTGAAGCCGCAAGCTGCGTCATCAACTTGAACAAAGGCACTTTAGCGATCGGAGTTATTCACAGAAGTCCTGCTGGCCAA